CGGGTAATGGGTCGGGTATGGGGTTATGGGTGAGTGATCTGGACCGTCAATCTAGTGAGATTAACGGTCCAAATTGAAGGTGACACAACGACGTCGTTTTGGACGGTCGTGTGGCCAGCTTAATTGGACCGGGCAAAAGGGATTTGGACTGGGTTATTTTGGTTTGGGCCTGTTCAAACTGGCCCAATCCGGAAACCCCTCTCTTTTCTTCTTTAATTTAAAAATCCCACATAAATTGTAAAACAAAACTATACAATTATTAAACAACTATCACACACATTAATATTCAATAAAAATAAAATCACTCAAGGACGACAAATAGAATAACATCTGCATATTTTATGATTTTCCTTTTAATAACTGAAATATGGTTACACACGACATATTTTTTGTATTTTTGTTTGATAAGACTAAATGAGAATGGACAAAACCACAAATAACTACCAAAAATGTCACGTAAATTCCAAAAATTGTACAGATAGACCATTTGTTATTATTTTGATTTCTTTTGGAGTGATTGTCGCGTAAACAAAAATCACGTGATCACAAGTATAATTTAATGATTATTCTATCATTTCAAGTCGTCTTATATATGTAAAGTAACTTGCGTAAGTTCATATATTTAAGTTGGTGTAATTTTATGTGTTTATTGGCTTATATCAATGAAATGGTAAATTCTCAATAGATTATATATATAGTAATGAATATAAGGAATTTTTACCTAATTTGATAAGTAGTGGTTCAAATCAGATTCATTCCTATTTATTCTCGTCTCATTGTTTTAGGCTTTGCAGCTCATGAAACAAGGGTTAAACATGAAATAGGACTTAAGTTTACGAATGCAATAAGAAAAGCATTATAGTGTAGATGCATAATACAAATAAAATAAGGAAGAAGTATCTATACATAAATTCTTGATTGATTTAAATTCCTTAATATTAGGAAAAAACTTAAATGTCGGTAATTTTTTAAAATCTGGAAAAATTAGTATTGTTAATTATTAAACGTAGAAAAAATAATAGGGAACTAATAAGACATACATCGAATTTCTAACTAATTATTTTTATTGAATCACCCAGACAAATTATCTCAAATTTGAAATCCTTCGAGTCCAAAACATGAAATTGAAAAAGATATGTTAAGGGAAAATAATTGAGAAGTTGGTGTAGAAGATTTTAAGATAAAGAGCAAATAAAAACTATCTTCATATAAAACCCGAATTATTGTCAAAATGAAATTATGGTAGCTTTGTGTATTCAATAATAATGTGCTCTGTATATTCAATAATAATGTAGAAACGACTTTTACTTGTACTATCTATGTGTATTTTGCTAGGGCTAGTCATTGCTTGATTTTAGCACATTATCAAATCTTTTCTTCACAAAATTACTAACGTGGTTACAATTGCAGATTCTAAGGCTAGTTAATTATCATATCACGTTTTCTATATTACACTATGTTGTCTATAATAAATCTGTCTAAATAGAGTATTGCAAGACTTTAAGCAAAAGAAGATTTTAAGTTGGTCAGCATAAACAAACTACCAAGAAATCATAAGAAACGTAATAATGACTTTTTCGTTTTCCTTCTTCTTCACGATGCACTGCATATTCTTTTTAACTGATCTTCACGCTTATTAACAACAATAACATCTGTGTGCAACAATGGTTGATAACAACTATTCCTACTAATTAATAAATAAAAAATGTCATCGGATCAGAACTAACAAATAATACTCCTAAAACAAGAGGTAGTATGCATGCTAGCATAGTTTATGTTCTTAGTTGGTCAAATATCAGAGAGTTAAACACAACTCAAAAAGTAATTATCATAATTAAAAAGTCAAAAAATCCGAGCATGAATAAATATAAATTGTTTGTATTTAGAAAAAGAGAATCTGGAAATCGAGACTTGGAATAATAGCTCTTTTATAGAAGTTTTGCCTATATAATTCGAAAAGGAAAGAATTTATGATTAGGAAAAAATTAAATGACTATTTCTATATATTAGGAAAATAAATTAATGAATATTCAGATATTAAAGAAATAACTAAATGACTATTTTGTCTAGTGTGAACTCTGTTTTAAAAGGGTAGAAAAGACGAACACATTTCGCTAAGGGCCTTCGTGCTTTTAATATAGTATAGATATAGATAAGTCAAGTGAAAAATGATTTCCTATGCTTATAGATGAAAATTAATTTCGGTAAAATATCTTGACTTTTACTTTTATATTACTTGTTATCTGTCACGCTTAAATATTATTATTAATCTTTACCACAAAATAATTTATTCAAAAACTAAAATATATTATTTGGACAAATATTTTCAAACATTTTTCTTCAACCAAACAGGCCACAAACCCTTTTCTTTTCACACTAATAGAAAATAAACATAAAATTGTAAAGAAGTTGATGAAAATAAAAAGACATCGGCCAACAATTGATTAGGAGAATACATTTCGAAACAACAAAAATTATTAATTTTAAAAATAATAAAAGAGCATTTCATATGAAAGTTTTTCATAAGAATGTGCTTTTCATAAGGAAGTCATTTTCGATTATTCGATTGTCATTCAAAAATGATTTTGCTCATGTATGTATGGAATCGCTCCTTTATAATTATTTAAAGGTCAAATACATACACATGCCATTAAACTTGGTCAAATTTTTCATTTTGGCACTTTAACTCAGTCTTGTTCTATTTTGGCCCTCCAACTCCATTTCTTTTTTACCACTTTAATACAAAAGCCGACTAGATTCCATATGTGATTTGCCTCACTCTTGCAGGCGCATGAGAGTCATTTTTTAAGCCAAATTTCATACTCTCAACGCAGTGGCGGATCCAGGATTTAAGTCATATGGATTCAATTTTAATGTTTTTAATATTGAACCCATTATATTTTTAAAGTTATGTTNGGGGGGGGGAGTCTATTTGCACGCGCTGCATTTTTACCTGGGATAAAAGTTTTTTGTGTTAAAGTGGAAAAGAAATGAGGTTGAAACGCCAAAATAGAACAAGACTGAGTTAAAATGCCTAAAAAAAAAAAATTGGGCAAATTTAATGGTCTGTCTATGTATTTGGCCCTATCTAAACCTTATGATACTTATTTCAACTAATATTTAAATATTATTATTAAATACGTGCTAAAAGTTTATTGACAATACAGAATCTTTAAACTTATGCTGGAATAATTTTAATACTTTTAGTTTTTATGAGAATATAAGTTTTCAATATTTATTATATTTCGATATTAGAAAAAGGATCCTTCCAAGTATAATGAGGTCCATCCATGACGGACAAATTACCTAGTTAAACTGATTAAGAGCCTATTTGGCCAAACTTTTAAGAAGCCAAAAAGTAATTTTTTTTTTTTTTTGCGAAAATTCAAGGTATTTGGCCAAATCAAAAAAGTGCTTTTGAGCAGCTGTGGAACTAGCTTTTCGGAAGAAGCTACTTCTTCCAAGAAACAGAAGCAGAAGTAGAAGCAAAAAAATTAATTTTTTCTTGACAAAAATATCCTTATCATAAATATTATATTTTCAAAATACTCCTCACTGATTTTACCCTTTTCTTTTTTACTTCTACCATCTTTTTTCTTAATTCTGCTTCTCTTATTCCTCTTTGGAATAGTCTACTATAAATAGATATCTTCTTTTTTCTTTTGTCATTTTTTCTTTTCTCCATCTCCTATTCCTCCTTGAATAGAATTAAAGATGAAAATATTGAAAAATGGTATCATGTATGAAGGAATTTCTTTAATATTTTATGTTGGGTTTTTCGATATATAGTGATTGTTATGGAGTAGATATTTAAGTTATAGTAAATGATATATTTTATATATTTAAATAATAATATAAACGATAAGTAGTTATATTAGATACACAATATTATTTCTTTGATATAATAATATTTTGTATTGATTAAAATATTTAATATATATTTTTACTTTAGATTTTATATTTTATTTAAAAAATAAAAATTAATTGAATTCTCTTATAAAAATATTATTATTTCTCTATTTTAAATAATACTAATTGTACACTTAACATTAATATTGTCCTTTTTTGCAATTTAACAATCAAGTACTTTTTGAAAAGATTGGTCAAACAAAATTTTGTTTATCAAATATTTCAAAAAATATTTTTTAAATAAATTAGTCAAATACAAACTGCTACTCTCCAAAATTACTTTTCTGAAAATAATTTAAAATAAAATTACTTTTTAAATAAATAGATTTTGCTGGCTTAGCCAAAGGGACTAAGATGAAATAAGTCGAAGTAAATAAGTTTCATTTTTTCGTTCCCAAACACGGTAGTAACTTCAACGAAGTCTTTTTCTTTTTTTCTTCTTTCTTCTTTTCTTTTCCTCCATCAGGAGTCCATTTCGCTGCGGCGTGGAGCGGACCAAAATCCAGAAAACACGGTTTGGAATCGACCCGTCTATTAAAGGGTCTTTTTGTCTCTAAACCCCATTTAGAACTCCGCTCACTCCCATTTCTCTACTTCACAATCAACAGCAACAGCCCTTCCTTCTCTTCCCGCCTATTCTCTCTTTATCAACCAAATAACATTGGCGATCAAGCCCTAGTTCTATTTCTTGGTATTCAGAATCTCATACAAACAGTGATATGGTCAATACTGTGACGTCCAGAGATATTCAGGACATTGTCTCCAAACTCTCGTCAGACAAAGCAAAATCTCGTGAAGTATAAATACCTATTGTTTGATTTTTATTTACTTATAAGAAATTGAATTCAATAAGTAAAGCTCAATTAATCTTGACGGAGAAAATTGATCAAAGAATTTGAATGTTAATGAACACCGTGGTTATAGTTATTTCCTTTTGAGTCTGGACTAATTGGTTTGCTTCTTATTAAAATAGGAAGGGATTAAGTTGTTAAATGCATGGCTAGAAGAAGGCCAAAGGTCTGTTGAGTTCTGCAGATACGTTGGAGAGAAGACCGCGAGGCTTAAACCAGGCGAAATTCCTCATTGTCAGTATAATAAATATAACAATGTTCTTTGCATATGTCCGCACTTGACAGATATTTGAGGGGTGTATAATTTTATGCAGCTGAGACGTGGCCCTTTCTTGTTACATTGCTTACTAAATGCGTGTCCCTGGAGATATCTGGGAGCAAAAAACGTTTGCCCAAGTTGAATTTTGCTAAAACTCTTCGGATTGTTGTCCAACGAGCAGAGGATGCCAAATTTTCAGGTACTATGGACTAGAAATATATTTTATTGTCATTGTCGATTCTGCCTTCTAGTCTGTGTAGAAATTTAGGTTGTTTCTTTTTATTTCCTGAAAGTGAATACACAGTTAAATGTGTTTTCTTTGTTTTGTGGAGAGATCCTTGAAAGTGATCTGCATTTGCCTATGGATGAATTCCACATAGATTGTATTCGTCTGCCGATATAAACTCGAACAGACATTAAGCAATACATAGGTTAGTCTGCTTGTTGCCCCATCCACCCAAACAGCTGAAAATGTTATTGCATGTCTCCAAATTTTGAAGACACGGGTAATACCCATGAGTAACCAATATCTTCTCGTTTTTATCTATCTCAGATTTGTGTGCACTGGTATAACTATTAGAGTATGTGTATTTTGATAAATGGTATTAGTTTTAGAATATTGCAATGTGGGACTGCTTTTCACAGATCCATTTCCAATGATTAAATTGATCTTTTCGAGTTGATATGCATTCTCTTCAATAAACATCCATGCTTGCCTTTGTTTACTTTTTGTGGCACTGAATCTCTTTGTTCATGTTGTTTACTTTGGGAGGTAACTGACCCGCTGAAACTCTTTGTTCATTTTGTTAACTTATGGAGGTAACTCACCCATATCCTTGCATGTCTGCCAGCAAAATATGATTTCATGTGGAAAATTTCGTATCATGATGGAACGTTCAAAGTTGCACGAACCTAAAATCTCAAACTATCATTACTTATTAAACAAAAATCTCAAACTTTCATTCCTTCGATGTAGACTTGTTGGAACCTTGAGGATTTTCTTCTACATACTTTTTTCTATTAAGATGAAAGGTCAATATTATCTCATGTTAATTTTTTTCAAGTATTGTGTGATTTTATTCATAATGGCAAAGCTCTCGTATGCACGAGGTATTCAAAAATAGAGGATCTATTAAAAGATATGATTCTCTACGAAAAGACACCCGATCTTTTATACAAGTAGGAACCTCATGAGTGCACCAAAAGACATTAAAAACTGGAGGCTATTCCTCAGATTTATAAAGATCAAGCTATTTCCCTTTTCTGCATCCTATCCACGTAAGTACCAATAGAGCAACATCTCACACCCAACGTCTTCTCTTCTGTCCTCTAAAGGGCCAACTAAATAGTTCATAGTGTCCAACATTGTCATTTTATCCTGAACCATCTTAAAAGTTCCCCCACAGACGTGATGCTTCCTGACAATGTAGTAAGATATGATTCGCGTCCTTTCTCGAGTGTTTACACTTGAAACACCAACATATGTGTTCTTTCTCAAGTTTTCGACCACCAGAATTGCACAACCACCAACCAAGCCAAAAAAAAAATAAACCTTTCTTGGTATTATCCATTTCAAAAATGATGAATTGTTTCATATATTTGTTATGTCTGGCAGGCAAAGATATGCCTCTTTTACCTGTGGCAAAATTGCTTTTCAATCATGTCTGGGATGTTTTAAAGGATACTCCTAGTTTTCAATCCGAGTATGGAACTATTCTCCGGCATCTTTTGGCAGTGAGATCTTACCGTTTTCACATGAGGAAGCGGGTTTACTGTTGTAAGTAAGCATGTATCTTTTTTTACAGCAAAGAGGTGCCTATAATCTAACATTGCATTTCAATCTTAACTATAGTTTTTGTGTTAATCTGCAGGTTTGGTGCTTCTATACATGGAAAAGATAGAAACAAGTTTAAAAGAAAAAAGTGATAGCCAAATAAATCCAAGAGAGGAGGTCTTTCGATGCATCTCGACACTTCATTCTCTCCTTGAAAACCCCCCTGGAGGTTTTCCTGATAGCCTTCAAGAGGATATTGTCAAGGGTTTTATTGAAATTTTTTCTTATGTAAGGTAGAGAGATATTCTGGTTCTCATGCCTTTTGTTCTATTTCCTTCTTTTTTTTTTCTTTCCAATTTTTAATTGTTTCACATTCCACTGAACTCTTTACTATTGTGGTTTAGGGATGAAGGGAAAATTTCACGCAAGCTAATCGAGTGCATTAACATATACTTGCTGAGGGATGGCCCAAATTTGGGTTCTAAATCCCTGGAAATCCATGATGCTCTGCATCATTTTGTCTTCCGATGTTGGATGACAACTCGTGATCGTGGGTTAAAGGTATACAATTTTATGAGATGCAGTACTTCATGCCTATATCTATGCATCGGACATGAATTTCTAATGTCCATCTCTTCTTTTATAGGATTCACTTGTTTTTTATGCAAGGCTACAACTAAATTTGACGAGGGATTTTGCTGATGGGAGCTCTTTATTAGAACAACTTCAGGATGTACTAGGGAAGGAATTAGATCAAATGAGCAGTTGGACCATCAATTTACCCTGGTTAGTACTGTTCGATGTGCTGTCCCAAGTGCCTGTGTATAGAGCTATCTGTTTTCGGTGTCATGGATGATTGGTAAACATGCTAAACGTGCTGGGGTTTTCAAAAGTTCATGGAAAAAAGGTCCCCCCCTCCCCCAAACGTTCTATACGAATGTATATGTTGGACACTTAAAGTTTCATCCAAAGCTCACCCCAATCTCCAAAATCTTGTCTTAGCACTCTTCTGATGGTCTTTCATTCCATTGTCCCATCTCTAGCTTTTCCTTTAAATCTTCAACCGTCTTCAAATTTGAGTCCTTCGTCTCAAAGCAGTGAAGTGGTAATCAAAAGCTAGAGCACATTTCATCTTCAGCTCTCAAGTTCCCCCCCCCCCCCCCCCCCCTCCTATTTCCATCTGAAATCTGTGTCTGCAAATCCGCCAACCGATTGCTATTGACTTGTCTGAGCTTCCAATCAATCTGAATCTGCAAACTCACCAACTCATTACAATTATTTATTTCTCTTTATTTATTTTGGATCTCTGATTTTTGTTCAATTTTCCTTATAATTCAAGCATGAAGAATGAGCTCTGTTGCTTCAATATTATGATTAGCTTTGATTCTGAAGGACTTCATATATGAACTTCTATTTGGGTTATGAGCTTGGGATAAAATGAAACTCAAGCTTGAGCTCCCTCGTCAGTCGGATTTGAATGGCATCTTGGTTCAAATGATAGCTGAGCAGAGTCAGAGTGCCCATAACTCAGCTTGACCCCGTTCATTTACACTGTGATGAGTTGCCATCTTTAAGTTTATAAGTTGTCTGATCTTACGATTTTTCTCAATGTTTTAACGATGTTCCTTTCTGTACAGGAAAGACACAACCAGAAATGACAAATGTGGAAGCTTGACAAGCTCTCAATGCGGTCTTATGGAGCTTGCAGCACTTGTCTTTTACCGGGTAGTTGTTTGTTAAATTATTCTTGTTTCAACGTTGTGATCAGATGATGACGCTCTCTGTGAAATTTTAACTGTTCAATCTTATTTCCTACGAAATTGAGTCAGATATCCCTTGGTACTTCTGTAATTCTGGTATTATTATAGATTTTGGAAGGTTGATATCTGTATATCAGATTCTTCGATTTTGGATCTAATGCGCATATTTTATCCCCTTAAAAAGTTCTTAACATTTGTAAGCAACTAGAGGTAACTAGGATGACATACTAACTCCGTGATTATGATTATCAGGCATGTCTTAACACACCTATAGCATCGTCATCTGAGAAACGACTTAGAAGGGAGCATGTTGTAGTCCAGATAAGGGAGAGGCTCTCAAGGGGAAAGTGGCCGTGGTATGTAATCCTGTGTGCTGTTCCTAGTCTTTGCCTCTAGCTATCTACATAGTGACATAAGTATCACTATTGCAACTTTGCAGATGTAGTATTTGAAGGAGACCTTCCTATAGTTGCTCATCAGTTTTTGTGGTCTATTGATAGTTTAATAATCAAAGTAGAAATTTGATTCTTTGTTCCATGATTCATCATGTCTTTTACTGAAGGGCATCTAATGAGACAAGTTTGTTAGCAACACTCACCTTCTGACTTTTCCTCGAAGTCTTTCATCTGTTGTCTGTATGCATGATCTATTTATTACACATTATCAGACGTATATTCTGCTATTTCTTCATGATATTTTTGGAGAAAGCCTCTCGGATACTTAATTATTCCATAATTTTGGTTGTGGTCTGTGCCATTTCCTCCTCTCATTTTGAGGTTATTGGTAGAGAGAAGAGAAGTACAATTGTTTGAAGAGTTTTCACATTGATAAGGAGAAGGAAGCTTATTGTTCTTGTGATGCCCTTGTTTTTTGGTACACTGTTGAGCGCTTCCCATAAATTTATACTAGGCATTCAGACATGTCTGTTAGCATCAATTTCTGAGGTCACTGATACTCCAATTGACCTGGTTGCCATAAATCCGTGTGAATTGATTGGTAGCACGATCAACTTATTCTTGAGACATTCCTTAAAATTGTAAAGTTATTCACTTTGTATGTTTTGGCAATAGGCATGCAGCTTTCTGTTACCTCATCCACAATTATTATGGTCGCATAAAGAAGGATTTATTGATCTATTGGTTTGAAGGTATATGTGCAAGCTTTGAAAGGTTAGTTTTCTGGTCCTTGTTTTGGATGCATTGCCCTTTTTTTTTGTGTGTGTGTGTGTGTGTTGTAGCTTATGGATCTTGTGTCCTGTAAGAGCATCTAGCAATTTCTTCATGGCTACCTCCCTGTTATAGTTTTATAAATCTTTGCTTTTCGATCCTGTATATGAGTATGTTTAAACTGCGGATCTGGCACTCTTTGTTTTCTTTTCAGGATAATAAATGATGCAAACATGGAGCATAGTTATGAAGGTCTCTTGTGGGCATTGAGGTGTGTTCTGCCTGATTTTCATCGATATATTAGCTTTATCACGTTGTACTGGACATGTGGGACTGACTAGTCTTCTATTTTATATTATCACTGTTTGTGTTACTTCCATTTACTGTTGGTAATTTCTAACTTCTATGGTACTGCACCATAAGATTCTGCATTAGAATGCTAATATATAGGAGTACTCTGTTTCGTTTTTACATTTTCTTCTGAATTCTACTCTCAACCCATCTAGGAGTCTTCAAGGACTTTCTTTGATGCTGCGGTTTCCTGTTCCAGCACTGCAAACTTCTTCAGAGTTGGCATCCACATTTAATGGGGTAACAGTCTGTTCTTTCAAAATGTGTTGGCATATTCAAGTTTTTGACACCTTGGTGACCTGTTTGGCCTTTTGCTGTTAAATATAGAGAACTTTTTGTTGCCTTATAGCTGGTAAGATTGTTATTTGAATTATTTGCTTTTTTTGAGCTCTATCTTTCTTGTACTTGTGTGTTCATAGTTTATCAAAAGCTGTTAACTAAGAACTTAAAATTGGGGAAAATAGAACACAATTAAATGGTGCAAAGATAGAAAGATGAATTTTCTAATTCAAATTTGATGAAGTGACCTTTCTAACCTTTCTGCTTTTGACAATGGGGGAATTTGAGGGGGTGTTTTTGCAAGAGTGATAGACTTAAATTAAGTACACCAATTAGCTTGCTCTCACTTTTAAATGTTCTGGCTTTTGTCCTTGAAGTAGTTTTAAATTTGAGCTGTTGCTCTGTTTTTGGATTGAGACCCTTTATGGGGAATGTGAGAATGCTCTTTTCTTGATTATTCCATATTGATTTTCTTTTGAATTTGAGACAGATTTCTTTCCTAACCTTTATATGACTGCATAAGATGGAAGCTTCCCTGCCTAATCGTTTTTCTTTTATTGTCTTTGCTATTTTCCCTTTTTTTTTGGGGTCTCATGCTGGCATTTGCTTCGATTTCCTAAAACACGGGCAGAGTGGGCGATTAGCCTCTCACAGGGATAGTAGCTTGAGATATTCTTCCCTTTGCAGTCTAAGACCATCATGTCAGGAAGCGACTATTACATGGTTCTCTATCTCACCTCATGGATACGGGGTTTTCACTACAACATTAATAAAAATAACTTTACCCCCAGAAAATAGTGACTTCAGTTCACCAAAATCTAGCTTTCTCAGCTACAACATCTTATGCTAGGAAGAGACTTAATGAGCTTGCGATTTTGCATTTTATTAATTTGAAATACCATCTTATTGGATGAATTTCAGTAAGACACTGATAAAGAGCACACCAGAAATGCTCTCTCATTTCTTATCCTTACCAAAAAAAGATGCTGTCTCATTGCCCATTACAAAGATTTTTTACCAGTGTTTAAATGCTGGAGTTCCACTTATAAGCTCAGTTCACACTGTTTACTAGAATTTTCTTTATTGAGTAAATTAAACATTTTAATAGGATATTTTGTATAGAAGCCTTAATCAAGTTTATTGAAAAAAGATTTGCATGTGAAATCACAAGGACGGGAAGATTTAAGTAAGGTGGACGAACAATCAGTAAGTAGTTAATACCTAGTAAGTAGTTAATACCTGATTTAACAGCATGACATACCCTGATTGGTGGTTTTTGCATTAGATGCTGAGTTAGCAGCACAAGCTCGGGTGGCCCAATATTCAAATATCCTTGTGGCAAAAAGAGGAAAGAGGAACAAATGTTTCACGCACAAGTCTTTTTTTAATTGTTCACTTGGGGGTTTGTGGTCCCTGGCAACCATTTTATTGGGACAACCCAATTAAATTCATCTATTTGTTTTTTGGTTTAAGGATTTAGCTCTTGACTGTATTTGCAGGTTGAAACAGGTTGGCGTACGATATGGAACTGTGTTATTGGTGGTTTGCCCACATTCAGTACTTTTACAGCAGTTGTAAGTTGTGACTTCATTGATCTTTTAAAGACGGAATCCTGTTTCTTTTTCTAGTATTTAGGTGTGGTATAATGCTGGTAGCGTGCTTCCAAGTACTCAAATATATTATTTCCAAATTTGATAAAGAAACACGACCAAAGCCACATGTAGGATAGGTATTAGAGGCTGGGCATGTAGAACTCAAAAGGTATCCATCAAGTAAACCAACTCATCTAAGGTCATGCTTTTTGCATCCCATTTTTTTGCGACACTATTTGATGTCAATAAGCATGAAGGACTTAATTCAATTTACATGTTATGTAATGTAAGGTGATAAACAGTATATTTTTTGATAGAAGTGAATACAAAGTTGGTTTGATAGGATAAAACCATCACATTGTGGTTACGGTTTAAATTGGTTAATAAATTAAGAATTCTTGAAACTGATCTGTGACAGGTCTTGGATGGTTCTGTTTATTTGTTCTTAGTCAGTTAGCTTCTTTTTGTTTTGTTTGATGAAGCTCGTCCTTAGTTTGTTGTTTAAACCATGACTTCTCGTCCTTTAGCCTTGTACTGCTTATTCTTCTATTGGAAGAATCTTTTGCGGAAAGCAGTCATGAATATCTTTTACTTCAATTACTAAAAGTTCATTAGTTCCATACTTCCATTTGCCCTGTACTCTGAATGACTAATGCAGTTGCAGTTGCATAGTAATTATGATGTTTAATTTGCAAGGGCTTCTAAGTCTTAAGTACCAATGCTAAGTGATTTTCCTACGGATTTGGGAATACTGAAGTACTTTAAATCTGAACATACTTTTATTTTCTTGATTTTTTCTCTGAATGTCGGATATCCTATTCAAACATTGCAGTGTAATTAGGTGTTTTTAAGTAAAAAAAAAAAATGCAATTCAAGTGATTCTGACTCGGGTATTTAGAAATCAATTGTCTGCCTTTGTTGACTCCAGCAGTATCGATAGAGTTTTATGGATATTTATGTCAGGATGAGTATATCTTCTTAAACTTAAGTTGCTTAAATGTTATTTGAGCAATGCAAGATTTTCTCTTATTTGCTGATTATTTCATATATCTGTTTTTTGTCTCTTCAAGTTTGTTTCTCTAAAAGCAACTGATTACTGTTCGTAGAAAAATGTCTGAAAGAGTACGGAATCATTTTTTTTAATAAGGTAATTAAATTTTGTTAACAATTGGGCCCCAAAATGCTTATATACAAGGAGTATACCGAAAAATAGAAAACCTACAAAAAGATAAGATTTTCTATGAATGACATCCAATCATCTGTACATAACGGAACTTGTTGGGTGCACCAAAAAGTTATAAGGAATAAGAGGCTACTCCTCAATTGTACAAATTTATCACAACACCATCAAAAGCTCTCCTATTTCTTTCTCTCCATACGATCTACATAAGTGCAAGTGTAACAACATTCCACGCCCTGCGTCTTCTCCTCCCTCTACCACACTTCAAGCTGAAAAGAATTTCTTTGACAGTGCCTGGCATCACCCACTCAAGTCCAAACTGTCTCAGGATTTCCCACCATAGCCTCGAAGTACCTGACAATGTAGAAGAACTTGTCTTTGGTTAACGAACCCTTCAAAGTCTCGTTTAAGGAAAATTGAACCGATGCCACAATGTACTTGGGATGCAAGTTCTCAACAAATAAGAAAGAAAAAAGTGATGCAAGTAACTTATCAGAACAGATTGGCTTCAACATATCTTCAGCCTGCACTACTGGTGGGAGAAAAACAAAGCAAATGAAATGTTTTCCATTGAAAAGTATATCTGATAAGTATTTAAGTTGTCTGCAAGCAGTTTTTTCTTGTGAAGAGAATATTCAGAATTCTTAAGTCTAAAACAAGTTATTAGGCTACTTGTTTACTTTCTTGTTTCCATGTATGTGCAGGTGGATGCTGCATTAAGGCTACTTAGAAACATAATACTCAATGTGAGCACTATCCTTTTGCAGACTTGTGATATTTTTCTTGATTTATTTCTGTTGGAATATTTGGACGTCTTTGTTTCTTATTTCTTTTAGGATAAAATGAATGCATACCTTGTGCCCCAAGACTTGTGGGATCTTCGATTACTTAAACGCGTGCCATCAATGTAAGTAATTCATTCTTTTCATATTATTATGGGAATTAGTATATGAGCCTACTGATGTCAGCATTATTTTGTTCTTTGGAATCTCGAATGTACGCTGGTAACTTATTGTAAATTGTCCTGTTAAAATGAAAAATTAAGTGCACAGTGCTGNTCCTGTTAAAATGAAAAATTAAGTGCACATTGCTTATGAAAACACTTAGTCTATTGTGTTAGTCAACTTATTATTTGCAAATATTTTGTGTTGAACTTCCACACAAGAGAAATGAATCGAAAATCTCATTAAAGAGGCACTTCTTGAATTATCTTCACTCTATCTTTTCGAGGAAGCATTCTTGTAGCTTAAACCTGCAATGAGCTATGATAAGAGTGGTATTACAACAATGTGCCATTCTAGAAGCCCTTAGGATAGGTAGAAATGGGTCTATTATAAGGTATCCTGAATCTGAACTAGAACAGAGAAGACTTGTGTACTATCTATGCATGCCATAGAGGTAAAGGTACAAAAGGTTAAATTGAAATGCCTTGTAGGGAATTTATAGATTCTCATGCAATGTCTTATATAGGTGATAGTGCCCCTATCAGACAGTATATCTTGAAATTGGTAATCTCTCAGACAGTCACAGCATGATGGTTATGTTGAAGGACTGAGTTTCTTCAGAGGTCACTGTTACTGCTTGCTTCCCAAAAAAATGGATACTGATGATCTCTGATGAATATGAGTTTGTAAATAAGTGCTCAAGTAGGTTTGTCTTACTAATTGACAGAAGAATCCTTGTAGAATGGGCTTGGATTTGAGTGTCGTCTGTCAAAAAATGAGCGTCGTCTGTTATAAAAGATGAAATGTGAAGGTTGGTTAGTAAATGGTTAAATTTCAGACATTGTTGATGATGTGTTTGCAACCTTGATTGTTCAACATGGTCATAGCTCCCTTACAGAAATGTCTGTACCATATTGGAATAAAGAAAATTCTGTTAGTGAAAGAAATTATGCATATTTCTGGGAACAACCTGTGCTTTACTAAATATAGTTCAACAGAATGTTTACTTAGTATAGCTCTCTAATCTCACCACAAATGTCACAATGAAATGATAACACCACCTCCTTATCAAGGAGAATCGATAAACCACCAAGACTCCCAACCACTTCGTACCAGAGGAGCATAGAATGCCATTCTGCCCCATATCTGGGGGACTTTAATGTTATTTGAGGATTCTAATAGGTTTTACAACATTTACTGCATGTAATGCGACATCTTTTGTGAGAGTAAAATTATACCTTAATTCCTGGTTTTCTTAGTATTTAATGGACTAGACTCTCTTCTTTTATGTCCTCTGAGATTATATGATTATTCTATGATGTATGTTTGAAGTAGTTTGATCACTTATGAAACTTTTGACTTGAAGTATTTTTTTTTTGAATTGGTAACTATTGTATATATTATAAAAATCAGTACATAGGTTGCACTGAAAACCAAATTTACATAGAGAGAATTTGAAGATATTCTAATTTAAAACCTAGCAGGATCCTAGTATGTCTATGATTGTCAATGTATCTTCTGTGTACATCTGTTTGCACCAAAAACAAAATAGAAGAATACAATTGAGTTTGATCTTCTGCAGTGGATTGCTTCTGTCTTCAAAACATCTAGTGTTC